ACTACTGTTCGTTTAGTGCCCAATTTGTGGGCAGCCAAATTCAAATCCCACGTAGTCAAACCTTACGAAACCAGCACAGCCGGATACACACATACATATGTGCATTTAATGTATTTCGCCAGTTGTGGACTTCTACAGGTTTCTGCCTGCCCAACCACTATTCGTGGAGATGGAGGGAAGAGGCGAAGACAAATGCGTGGGCGTTTTTCAAATAAGGATAAGTTTCTGTCAGAAACGTTATATGTACTTCCCTCTCTGATTGGAAATGTTACAATGCACATGTAAGAGGGAACACTGATTGTAAGTAGGAAAATTCGCAGCAAAGATGCGCTACTATTACCTCATCTTCCAAGTTATTGAGAGGAATCCATTGGTAGTCTAATTGAGCAGCAACGAAGTGTGAGCGTTCGGCCTTGTTAAGTACTGGTAGAGTGCTAGTGAAGGAATACTGGTCAGTTGATCCTATCACTAGTAAGTAGCGTCCGTCAAAGGCCACTTGAGGTTTTTCTCGATATGTCCCTGTCTTTTTCCACAGACCCTGAAATTCAATGCCTATATCAGAATGAGCTACCCATTTCTAACACCACAATCCATACTTTGGTAAATGCTAGTTCTGAACTTCACTGTTCACAATTAGGCTCACACCAACTAGTCTAAAAAATTTATCGTAATTTGGAAGTTTCGGCGCCAAACAGTCTTCAAAGCAAACTCTTTTGAAGAGAAAACAGGGATCATTTGACAACATTTCGAAATGATGGATTGGTCGTCCCTTTTTAGAATGCACTAATTCGAATTAATTAATTGGATAGCTAATCAGACGTAACTAATTATTTACTGCGTTGTAATCTTGGAAGGTCTACTTAATCAATACTATAAAATGTGGAAGCCGACTCCCATTTGATTTGGTGCTTTTATCCTTCCGATCAAGACAAATCTGAGGATACAGAAAATCGACTACAGCTGCGAGTTTGATCCTGATAAAGGCGCGAAGGCTTCCTACAGCTTCACCTGAAGGGATGAAGAAACCACGGGCTTCGAAAATCGAACCTTCTTTTATGAAAAGTCTCACAAAGCAATTCTTCAAAAATTCAAATAGTGTGAAGTTGAACGACTAAGGCACGACAGGCCCAAGAGGAACAATTCCTTGCCAGCTCTTCAGGTCCAACAACAACCGAATCCCGTGGTAAAACACGATTTTCAAGGTGAAAATTAGGAAATTGGGAAGGTTTCATGGTACTGTCTGTCGGAGTTCTAGTGGCTGAGGCACATCACTTAAGCATGGGGGGAGGGGGAGCATCTCGGAAACGTTACTGATTAACGCCAAGAAACTATATCCTTCATCCTACCAAATTCATCCCAAATGGAAGTTCCCAAAGCCATGCAGATATTTTTGCTGAATCAACATTTTCAACACTGCAGGTAAGAATGGAAGGCGAGTTCACTCAACAATTTCAATTTCCACGTGGTGAATAAACAAAATTCTTTTTTTCGAAATTGTATAAAACTTACATGGGTTGCAAAAATAATTGTCAGAGGAAGAAGTATGCGAATGAAGTCGAACAAGAGTTTCGTGGCATACGCAAAACTTGCAGTGGAGGCAGTGTAAGTTCGATACAGAGGCTGTAAGCATGAAGGTGAAAATAAATAAAAACAAAAATAAACAAATTGAGTTCCAAGCTCGAGTTGCTCACTTCTTTATGAACGACCTCATGGACCATATTCAAGCAGGTTGATAATGTGTTTGAAGATACAGTCGAGAAAGGTGAAGAGCTCCTGCCAAGGAACAAATCCAGCAGATGACGGCTAAAATGCCGCTCAACCAGTGGACAACCACGTTGGACCTTTGCTTCATCACTGGACCAAGCCTCGGCTCACAACCAGACGCCCGTTGCTATGGCTGCATGACCATGTCAACGGCAGTTTGCCCCGCCTTCAGACAGGCATGCCTGTGAAAATCACAGCTGAAGAATGGGTCGGTGACTGGTCGGTCGGCTGCGGATTCGCAGATTCGAAGAGAAAATGACAAAATTGAGGTCATGAGCAGATGTGACTCTTCAGAAGAAATCTGAATTTGGCTCAATCAAGCGATTTCGCTGTAATGGCGAAATGTGAACAAGCAGAGCTAATAATTTTCTGTTAAACTCTGATAAGATCAGCATTACTTTTTTGTAACTACTTTCTTTTCATTTTGATTACTACCTCCCTAACGAGAACAACGCAACGACTGATGGAAAATCCTTCAGTCTCAATGGTTTCCATTTTTGCGGAAACATGACATTCATACTTTCCCTGAGAGATGGCTTTATAGTACGAAGTCAACACCAGAAAAGAAAATTTTCTGAGTGTTACGCTAACAAGGCGGAGGTGGTTAAAGCACTGACTTGAACATAATATGTACATATAAGGCAGCACATACGGATTAGATATGTCACTACGATTCTGAATGGAAGTCGAATGCCTGAACATATCCCCAGACGGGATTGATTGACTGCCCAAGACTTTATCCTTCATCCTTTCACTCCCATATCCCTCTGGTTCTGATAATTCGTCTGTTCGACAGCTAAACTCAAATTCAAGGACTGAGAATGCTGTTTGAAGCACAACAAGGGTTTTTGAGTTGAAAAACCTGCCCGTATTAGCGTTATTTTTGTTGTTTTTGTTATTGCTTGTTCAAGGCGAGAGAAGGACCGAGATGTATTGAAAGCACATGAAATAGTTGGGGTCGCTCCCTCGTTCGCAGTTCGAAAAAATCTGAAGTTTGAGAACTTATTGCAACCGCCGAGAAATCTAGAAAAGTGTGATAATGGTTCTGGTGCTATGTGGGTGAGGTGCACACAGTGAGCGGTTAGCCTTTCAATGGTTTGTCTCTCTGCGGACGAGAATAAATTACCTAAGCTAGGCATAACTGATATTTAAGGAAACATCCCCTCTTCCCGCTAGATAGTGCATGGCTAGAAATTTCACAATTCACGGTATTAAATCTCAAAATTTGTAGTTTGACTTCTAAGTAGCTTTGTACAAATAATGTTAAAATGTAGGCAGTAGAGTTTGGGAATGAATATGGGAACTGGGAGCAGGTGAATAAACCACAAGAACAGTTGAAACACGGGTTGGCCTATACGAATCGAAGTGGAACGGGTGGGGGAAAGCAGCGGGATCGAAGGAATCACAGAGGCAATTTTCCCAGAAGAATCCCTCCAGCATGTGAGAGTAATCCGACCTAGACCGACATGTTTCCAATCTTTTGTGTCTCTTCATGTTTGTTAATAGGAGACTTCCTCTCCAGAAGGCAGACAACAAGTATTATCTCAAAATCGCGAAATGGAATGTACATATGGGTGTACGAGGTGATAGTGATAACAACTTACATGGTCTGATTGCAGCCACAAAAAAGGGCAAGTAGAATCTCTGCGCTTCCTCAGATCACGCTGGATCAAACAGGGTCATGACTGGTAAATGATTGAAAGATTGGTAGCTGGTAATGGCTGATAAGGAGCGGAAACGTGGATTACGCCTTTCGCATTACTTGAGCCGCCACGTGTAAGGTGTCACAAATTGATAAGGACTGATAAGAGGCCTCCTAAAAAGGAATCCTCACTAGATTTGCTGCATTCTTCATTATCTCAAGGGAGAGCTCGTTTTTGAAAATGAACAGATAGGGACTGATAGAGGCTCATGGAATGATTGTGAAAGAAAACGCCAAATGCTCCCTCTTGAAAAATGGAACGTTTGGACGGTGTGTTACACGGGATTTGCTTCGGAGATACGAGAGGCAACTGATGGAAGCAGATGAGGGATGCTAAAAAGGGAGGTTAGAAAGGACATGTAGCTATATCCGGTGCATCCATAGACCAAACTGCTCTGAAAAGACTCTGTTGCTTAGTTGCAATGGAATTTGTAAAGTTTCCAGTATCAATATCAAAGGGGAGATTACTTGACTGACTGATGACGCAACCTTGGTATATAAATATGATGGATTTCGAATTGCATGCACATAAGCAGACTTTACAAATTCTTCTGATTCTTGGATATGTTATTTTCGCTGCATAGGATTCAAAAGAGACCATGAAGGGGAAGAGGGCACTGCGTAATCCTTCTCAAAAGCCAACTTTCTCTGGCTCCACGGTAGCAAGCAGTGTACACCTTAGAAATTGTGTCTTGACTTTTTGTTGAACCACTTATCTTCTCAGGATATGGGNTTGACCATAATATTCGTTTAACAATGTGAAGTGATACGCAGAGCAGGCATGGTAGAGCTCTCAGTCAGCTTCACCCACTAACAAGCAGGAACGACGTCGCCTTATGCATCGCTTCCAGTCGACTTTACGAGCGAACAACGATGCGTATGAAGTTCATATTCATGTCCAATGCCTTGTTTACCGGTAAAGATGAACAAAACAAATATTTTGTGCACTAAACACCAGAGCAATAAGCAATACGTTCAGATGACTTCAAATTTAAGTAGTTCAACTCAACTACAGTGCAATAAGATTAATTAGAGTGGTGAGTGTTAGGAGAATAAACTTTAGAGTAAAGAATGATCGTTCATTACTCTGATGTCTTTATCGTATTGCAATTGTACACTTGAACTTATTATTCCATCTGAAGCACGTGCAAAATGGAAACTGAACTACTGCTTCAACTACTCCGGCCCATCCGTCCACCAAATGTATTAATTGAACTTCTGTTGGTAATTGAATATTTTCTTCGAAGCAGAAGAATAAATTAAGAAATATCGTTCTCCAATGTGCTTTCCTGCACTTGACATGAATATGGCATTGAGGGCTTTAAAGTAAGAGGAAAGTATCTGTTGATTCAAAAGTGGGGGCTTCAGACTCATGTGTTCACCATTTGTACTTACGTACACCACTGGTGGCAATATTTATGGCCGCAGTGGAGCAAACCTATGGCAAAGGAAATGTATGACTTCATGTCAACAACTTCACACTGCCACTTCCAAGACTACCAAGCTTTACGAACACTAGAACAAGTTACACATGAATGTATGGTAGTTTCAGCCCAACTACTGAGAACATCAAGTCGTCTTATCAGCTTCGTGGTCAACTTAAAAATGTGACCGACCTCAGAAGTACAGACCAGGAAAAGCGAGAATATCTCCCATTTACGAAACCAGCTATAAAGTATGGTCCTTGCAAAGCGATAAGTGCAAGGATAAATTCCAACCCGCTATCGTGACTTACACAAGTAACGTAAACCCGGAGGTGATTCGATTTCCAATTACGTAAATTATATTATCGAGGCAGATTGTCCCCGGAAATAGCAAATCCGTAGACCACCATGAGCGAAGCAAGTGAAGGTTCTATCAGTGCGTTCAGAAAGTACTGTAAAAAATAAAACACATAGGATAAACTTCGAGAGATCTGGAAGGCTTGGTTGGACTGGGCGAGTATCAATGTGAGATTTGATCTCCGCACCATGCGTGTGTGGGTAATGGCCACATAACACTGCACCACATCCTCCCAAAAGCACTATATACCTGGTGAAATAAAATAATGCTAAAATTTTAATAATATAATATTAACAAAGAGCTTCAAGTCAAAACCAATATGGTGTTGGTTGTTTAACTCCTTTGTCAACAGCAGTTTTTTACTGCACTGAAGCCTCATAGGGATGGGCTGAATGCTTGTGGTACACACGTATATATGTATATGTATCCTGGTGGGGATCCAACGTCAGGCGGAACTTGGATCCCCACTAGGATACTTTTACATATTTCTGGAAAAAATTAGGCTCTAGAGTAAATAGTTGAGCTCGCTTCGATCAGACAGAAGTGCTAAAGATCGCTGGATCTGAATGCCATGCCCAGGGCAGCTCCTCTAACAATAAGACGCTTGATTCCATCTACAATTCGGCATTAGTCAAGGACTGTGGCATTAGACAAGAACCTCCAAATCAAAAAGTTACTTCGTGCCGGCTGGTCTCATGTTCAAACTATGAAAGGGTAGTGGTGTAAGTGAAGAATTGTGTAAATAAGTTCAGTTAATTTTGTAAGCGACAATAAAGTCAACACTTCAAGGGCTGCTTATGGGCCAAATGAAATCCCAACTTATGTAGTGAATAGTCGTTGCCCTCACTCGTGACCCATTCGAAATACCACCTTGAGCTTCTCTGCCGTCGAACTTAAGAAACAGCTGTGATTGGAACGATGATTGTATTCTGACTCCAAGGGCTTCTTCGCTACGTCTTCTGAAGGTGGTTGGAACCGGCACAATAGGAATTCTATTGAATCATATACAGCATACATTTGATGCTTCTTCACAAACATCTGGTAGCCGCCAGCCTAAGTGACGTCACCGTCAATAATTAAGAGAAACGACAAATGTGTTTTTCACAATGACGAAAAAAAAATTCCCAGGATCTTATTATCCATATTACTAATCATTCACAGGAACTAATGAAAAACTCATCGAAACAATGCTGCAAAAGTGGAGTCTATGTTTAGTGCTCATCCATGGCATATACGAGTGAAAACCTTTTTCCAAAGGCAGGAATAATGATGGCGTCGGAAAAAAGGATAGCCTTGCCGGGTAAACCCTCTGTTCTGGACGGAGGCTTACGTTGGTCTTCATGCCATATTAGGATGAAAAATAAGTGGATATCCCGCTGGAGGGCACAGGGCGTTTGGAAACTGGAGACCGCTACCCCCAGAGAGAAAACGGCAAAAGTCACTTTTTTGAAAGCAGGATTTCTTTTATAA